AACTGACTTGGGCACCAAGTCACAGCCTGGTGCTGACACGTGGCATCGCACATAGGGTGGAAATCAGCTGATTTTCAAAAATTCATAACATTCGCATACGAGCTCCGTTTTCGATGTTCTTTATATCCACGCGTAGGTAAAAATAAGATCTACAACTTTCATTTTGACTCTGCTGGCTAATTCTCGATTGATCTTAAATTTAACAGTAGGAGGAGATTAGACTGTTAAATGACCGCGAAGAATTCGTAACTCCTTCATACGGACTCCGTTTTCGTCTGTCTTTTTACCGTTAAGTTCCTATTAATGAGATCTTCAACTCTCATTTAGGTCGCGTAGGCCAAAAACAGCTCGAACTAAAATTCGAGTTTCGGGTCATGCACTACTATGTCGAATCTTAGAAAATTCATAACTTCCTCATACGAAGTCAGATTTGGGCGTTCTTTTTATGGATGTTCTCGGTTTAACATTTTCTATGACTTTCGTTTAGATTACTAAGGCCAAAAAGTCTTCTATCGTAAATTCACTATTTACACTTCCCGGTGTCGTGCCGGTTCCGTCGCGAAAATTCGACGGGTCATAACTTCTTCGTTATAACTCGGATTTCGGCGTTCTTTAAATCCCCATAATCCTTGTTTCGACCACTAAGACTTTATGTAAAGATATCGTACTTATCTCACAGATTAATTTTGACGCTTATTTTTATCATTTATTTATTATACATTTATAAATAAGTAATAAGCACATAAATTCACATAGTTCACATAATACTCAAATAATTCATCTTTATTACTTCAAAAAGAGTTACAATAGTTTACCTAGACTATCACATCATCTATTAATGCTTAGTCCTGAAACACGGCGTTAAATAGAACACTCTAGAATAGTCGAGAATATACGGGACCTAGAAACTTCCCATGAGGAGGTGTAATGTCCCTATAAATAGGGGAGGAGGTCTCATTTGTAGAGACCATCAAGAAGTCGTTGTAATCTCTTGAGTTCTTATAATACAAGCACTCTTTGTATTCTTGAAGTGTTAGTCTCTTGTTTTCTAATTTCGTTAATACATTTAAGATAGTTAAAGTAGCCTGACTTAGTTGTAGAAAAACTAATTGGCACAGGAGATAGACCAGTAGTAAGAGTCATCCCGTGACAATATGCTTCCTTATTTCTGGCAGTTCTTTTGACCTAGTACTTTGATCCCTGTGAGTCATCTTTGAAGCCTTAGATCCAGGAAAAAATCGTTCAATTTTTGTTTCATTTTTGATCCCTGTGAGTCATCTTTGAAGCCTTAGATCTAGGAAAAAATCGTTCAATTTTGTTTCATTTTCCCTTATATATGTTGGTGTTTGTCTCTTTCGCTGAAATTATTTTCCGTTTTACTCCCTCAATCGAAAAACCTTAAGACTACACACCACCATCGTTTTCCCTTTCCACGCCACCACTGAACAACCAACACTGCTCTCTCCCTATCTGTCTCTCTCTAAAAAAAGCCCTAAATCCCTATCTTTCTCTTTCTCAGTCGTTCCAGATAAACGAGATGCTCTGCCTCCTTCCGTATAAGTATCTACCTTGTCAAGCCTCAAACGAGATGCCCTCGCTCATCTCACACCCACCCTAATTTTTGCAATCCATCTTTGTGCAATCTGTCATTGAAGCCGATTAATCGACACCTCCACCAATATCATCTGATTTTGTTAAATTTTTATTTATTCTTTTTTTGAAGCTGAGTAATCGACGCCGCCAAAAGAAACGCACATCATCTACTCACTCTCGACACCTCCTCAATCATCAGACCAGTAAGAATCCTCTATCTTTAGATTATGACATATATATAACCATTGTAATTTGATTTTACTTGATACAAACTATTGATTGACTATGGCTTGGACATCTTAGTGTATATATTTGCAGAACAGGCTTGGCAAACGGCTCTTTTGTGATGAAATTACCTATCTCTTATTTTTAAATGTTTGTTGGTTTTTCTAAATATTTTATATGAACTTGCAGGTCACATTCAATTTTCAAGCCCACCAAATCATTGCAAATTATAAATTATCACAAATAAGATAAAAGGCAAGATACTAAAAAGGTTCAGGCTACTAAGGTCAACTTATTTAAGAAAACTATTGAAGATTTAGATGATATATGCCCTTGAATTACTTCTCTCTGTTGCACGAGAGTAGAAAATCCGACCCCAATTCAGGAAGGAGCAAAGCTTTGCAATTCTTACATATGTCTTTTATCAGTTTTTCAGGTTGTATTTATCTGGATACAAGTTAAAATTTATTAGATGCGTGTTGGAATGCTTATTTTGGTTTCTTTCATATTTATGATTGTGTCTTTATTCTGGTAAACCTCTCATATGTGTATTATGTAATATTTGTGTAGGCTAATCTATTGGGAGATGGACTTGAGCTTTAAATATGCTTCCATATGTATTTGTAAAGCCCATTGAAGCATATAAATACAGTGAAGTGTGAATGTGGCTGCAAAAGTACTTGGATTATAGAAAAGCAAATGAAATATAGATGTCATGAGGGGATATATATGTCTGGTTACAAATGATCTATAATCGTAAGCCAAAGTGGATTAATGTTTTTTTTCTTGGTCTACAAAGAACACAATGCTCATTTGATTAGTTGGTGATGTCTCTTTTTTTTTATGCTGCTCATATGGCTTTCTACTTGCACTTAAGTTGGTTCATTCAATGGATAGTCTGATTGGCTTGGCTTGGCTTGGCTTGGCGTTGTTACTTCATAATTCTCTCATTTACATCGCCTCTTGAGTTTACTCAGGTCCCCAATGTTGCTCAACCCTGCATGGAATTTCCTCAATTAGTGACTTAATTATCTACATTCTATTGTTGTCTTCTTCAAACTGAATTTGCTTCATGTTTCTGTTTCCTAAGACATATCTCAAGCTCATTATATCTCAGGTTGGATATGTGTTTGGAGTAATTGTATAATTATAAACAGCGTATTAGAGTAAATCACACATTTGGTCCATGTTACATGAATGTTCACGTTTAGTCCAAGTTTTGAACATTTGAAATAATTCGTCCATATTGCCTTTTTGTTATCCTTGACAATATACAGTTGTGTAATAACATTATACTGATAAAAAAAATAACAAAGTTAGTCAACATTTTGTCTAAAATAGCTTAAAAGCAAACCAACAATGAGCTATGGGATTTGATGATTATAGAGTGAAATCATCTAAATTGTAAAATCCTTGCTGCAACTATTTCCTCTAACCTGACATTTGATTATTTCATTGTCTGACCAGGTTGCCCTTAAGAGAAGTATTGAGTCATCACTCACTCACTGCAAGTTCATCATTTGAGTTGCTTCAATGTTTTTTTTGGGAAAAATTGTTGTATCGGATAAACTTATTAATTCAGTTTTCATCTGACTTTTTTGGAATTAAAATGGTGAAACTGTCGTTTTTTTATATGGTCAAATGTTGTCAGATGTAATTAGAGTCACAACCTGATCATACACGATTAAAGTTTTTTGGAAAAATTGTTGTATCGGATAAACTTGAAGACCATGTTTTAGATACAGAGTACAGAGACACAACCTGATCAGGTTGATGTAGATAAATATTTTGAACCATATCTTTCGTACTTGGTTATTTCTGTCGAAATATAGCATTGTACTTTTAATTTTTTTTTAATATAGTCTTAATTTGCTTTTTATAGTAGTAAGCCTCCAAACATTATATAATAAGGAACAAAAGCAATTTGTATGTTTCAGTGTATGGCAAATGAAAGAATCAAAAGCCCATAATCGGAAGAAAGCTATAAAAAAAATACCAAACAATGATCTGTTTAATCTTTGTCAACTATTCATTTTTCTGTATATAACCTTGAGTCACCGTAGTTTTTGTTTTATACTTTGAAATAAATTTCACTATTCTTTTAACTTCATATGTTAATAACCTTAAATATTTGTGCATCATTTATCAAATATGTTGATAAGAGATTGGTACTATTTTTTGTTATAATAAAAAACTTCAACTATTTAAAACATGGAGAACGTCTTATTTCAACAAGTAATTGAACAAACTAAAATGGAAACTAGATACCAAAAGGGGAAAATGCGTTTAATAGCAATAAACTATACTTTGTAAAAAATAAATAAATGAATTATATTTAGAAAAAAAATGACATCTATTTTTTACATAAATTCAACAAATGCGAAACTAAACAATAACAATGTGTGTGTTTTTTTTTTTTTTTGAAATATAACATGTTTATATGGAACATTGACCAAAATATTATAAGTAAAACAATCCCACACGGTATATACATTATGATACTAATTGTTAAAACTTTAATTGAAAAAAACTTGGACTTGTATTTAACCATTCATGTTAATAACAAAAATGACCATAATTATAGGGTTTTTTAACTGACTGACATGTTTACAAAGAAAAATAATCGTCGAAAATAAATTATCCGTTGCCCGCTAAAATAAAGTATTCACCAGCTTGAAAAGAAATTAATCACCGGATGCAATATTTTTATCCCATACTTTTATTATTACCCCGAAACAGCCTACCAAAAAAACTAATCGCCAAAATAAACTATCATGCGCCGCCGCATTGCGCGGGTATCCTACTAGTATATATATATATATATATATATATATATATATATATATATATATATATATATATATATATATATATATATATATATATATATATATATATATATATAGAGAGAGAGAGAGAGAGAGAGAGAGAGCTAGGTTCATTTGTTTAAACTAAGTATTGTGTTATCGTATGCATAAATGTGGGCCAATCAAAATTAAATAAAAAATTAAATAATTAAATAAATAAATAAGGGTAATTTAGTCATTTGTTTAATAACTTCCAAAAATAATCCCTATAATTTTGCTAGCCTTCACTCTTAACCTAATTTATTTTCTTATATACAGCCGTCGATAATGACCTGAAACAAAAAGAAGGGCAGCCGTTATTGACCTTGTACATCGATGAAGGTGATGAAGGGCATCAGGAACGAGAGAATAAAAATGGCGCAGACGCATGGATTGCCAACATTATTTACACTTTCACCCACTAATCCTTCCAATATACGCCTCAATTCTCACTCAAATTCTGTACGAGTGCGTACTTCAAAAATTAGGGCAGATGTCTCACTCGAAGTCGAAGAACACCCTTTTCCTTTTCCCCCAAACGCCATGCGAAGGAAGCTTGATTCCAGGTGGTTGGGTAGATTCAGTCTAGGAATTGATCTTGGGTTGTCTCGTACCGGTCTTGCCATAAGCAAAGGATTCTCAGTTCGCCCCCTCAAGGTTTCTTCCTCACATTCCCATTTTCCATTAATGGTCTTTTTCAATCTTCATTTAATACATAATTTCAATTTGTATAACTAATTCGCACAATCTCAATGGGTTCTTAGGTTTTTGATTTGGATTTTATCATGTGTGTGTCTACTCTAGGTTCTGGAATTAAGGGGCCAAAAGCTTGAGAAGGGCCTGATTGAAATTGCTCAAGAACAGGTATGTTCTTGTTTATTGAAATTCTACCCTTTAGATTCTAAAAATTAAAAAATCAAAAACTGATCCATGTATATTTAACTTTGTAGCTTCAAACTAGTGTGATTTGAATAGACCATATGTTTTTTCTGTATGAACCAAAACAAGTTAACCATCATTTTAATTTGACATTCAAAAGTCAAATATTCAATAGAGGATAACGCACATCATGTTTACAATAGAATAATATCTCCATCTTTTTAAAATGAGTGTAGTAATATACATCAAGTTATGAATTTGTTATCCTTGTGCTATCAACATTCTTCATTTTGTAGTAATATCATGTTTGACTTGAATCGGTCAAATATTGACTTCTTTGACATTGAATTTTGACAAGAATTCTATATTTAAGAATTCCATGCTTTTTAAGATTTTATTTATTTTTTATGACATTCTGTTAGAATATGTGTAATTGTATTAAAATGTACAATTTCATAGCAGTTATTCTTATAGAATGCGTGAAGGAGACATGCTGATCAAGGGCGTGAACGTTGGAATGGAATGACGAATTCCAATTCTGTTGGAATCACAGAAGTTGATGCTTAAAGAACGGACCACATTATTCTTTTAGAATGTATTAGTCGTTGTTAGATTTTGATGTTTCTTCCCCGTTTTGATTGTTTTTTTAGTTTTATTCTTTAACAATAAATGTAATTCATAACAATTGTTACCCGTATTCTATAAGAAATAATGTATTTTGTGTTTTTATTCTTTAATTGATTGTTCAAGATTTTGTTATTCTACAAGAAGTTGTTACTCTTCAAGAAGTTTTTAAAGTCATCATCAAGAAATAGGTTCAAGAATATTTTTTATTATTTATGGTTCAAGAATATTATTATTTTTGAATATACTCATAAACATATTCTGTCAGAATGTCCGAATTAAAAGAATTATGATTCGTAAAATCGGATTTTTAAAATTAATAGAATCTATGATCCCTTAAAAAATGCAATTTTTCTTTATTAAATCTATATTAATTAACTAAATTACCCTTGTAATTAATTAAGATGAATTTTTCAATTATATTTAATTCAATAATATATATTAATCACTTTCTTAAAATAAGTAAATTTGATTGGCCCACATTTATGCATACAATAGCATAATAATTACTTTAAACAAAATAACCTAAGCCTATATATATATATATATATATATATATATATATATACATACTAGGTTATAACCCGTGTACTACACGGTTGACAAAGTAAAACAATATTAAAACTTAAAAAAAAACTTAATATTAATCATATATATGCAAACAATTATTTTATAAAATAATTATATGTTTTGTCTGTAACTGATGATTTTGTAAAATGGTTTAAACAGATGAGCAATGTTTTTTATATCTAGATTAGTGATTAAATGATCAAGTTGTACAATGAAATATAACATTTAAAAAATGAAAATAATAATAATATAGACAATCTATGATGAATATAATGTTTATTATTTAAAATTAAAGAGTAAAATAATATAGGAAATATACATGAACACTCTTGCATAGGTCTAAATCATATAATTTTCATAAGAATATAACAAAGTATACAAAAAATGAAATAGAAATATTGTATAATTAGAGCGATCAATGTTTATTCACATAGTTTAACTAAATTTATTAAACATCAATTTCTATAATTTTTAATTTATTAGCCAAATATCAACTATCAAACCTAAAAATTCAATTAAATGAAAAACAGTTAATGAGCAATTAACAGGAAAAAACTTTGAGATTAGCTAAGGTGGGATGAGGTTTGGATTATGATGTGTATTACTTTCATCACAAAGAATAATCAAATGCCAGTATTGCATTCAAAACTATAATTTAGATAGTGACCATACATATGAAGAAATTGAAAAAACAGGACCACAGATTTTGATAAGCACAATTAGTCCATGTTTATTTTTTTACACATAGAGGATGTTTATCTCTTTTTAAAACGACCAAAAATTTGAAAAAAAAATAGAAGAAATTAATAAATTAGAGGCAATTTATAAAAAGATGAAACTTAATGGAAAAGTCTCATTTATCTTTGTTTATTAGTATAAGCATGTCTAAGGAAGTTAGTTGCTTGACAAATATCTAAAAAACCAATAAACATGCCAATGATCAAAATGATTAAGCAATTCAACTAATATTATCAGATGAACTATCAAGTAGATCGACTCATTTACTAAATAAAAAGTGTAATGCCCGTGTTTCTAGGCTACGCATTAATATTGACATGATAGTCTAGGTTAACCTTTATGACTCATTTTGGAGAAATGAAAAGGAATTATGTGAATATTATGTGTTTTATGTGTTTTATGCTTAATTATTAGGGTTTAATTAATTAAGAATAAAAATGAGCGTCAAAATTAAATATTAGATAAAGCCGATATTTATTAAGAAACTTGAAGTGGGCGTGACAAGGATTACAGATATATAAAGAATACCGAAATCCGAGTTATAACGAAGAAGTTATGACCTGTCGAAGTTTCGCGACAAAACCGGCACGGGGCCGAATGAGTAAAAAGTGAGTTTTTGATAAACTACTTTTTAGCCTTAGTGATCTAAACGAAACTCGTAGTGTTCGTTAAACCGAGAAGTTCGATAAAAAGAACGCCAAAATCTGACGTCGTATGAGGAAGTTATGATTTTTCGAAGTTTCAGCTTAGCACTAGACAGCTAAAAACTCGAATTTTAGATCGAGTGATTTTTAGCCGACATGACCTAAACGAGAATCGAAGGTCTCGTCATTAGTAGCACAACGGTAAAAAGTCTGACGAAAACGGACGTCGGATGAAGAAGTTATGAATTTTTAACGGATTTCCTGTCCCGGTCTGTTAAAAATAATAATATAAAAATCAAAGTCAAAATTAGCCAACGAAGTCTAAAAGAAAGTTGTAAAGCGTAATTTTACCTACGTGCGCATATAAAGAACGTCAAAAACGGAGCTCGTATGCCAAAGTTATGAATTTTAGAAGATTTTGGCACAAAATTCGAGAAATTTCGCATGGATGAGCTTCACCCGGAAATGCCACGTCACCTTCGCTCGTAGCGCGCCACGTGTCCGAATTGCTGAGTCTCCCGAGGCCAACTGGCGAGGCGTGTCGCTTCCTGATTCGACCGAAGTCTCGGCCCTCACACCTCCCACGCGTGTACGGTGACGCTTCGTATCCGAGCTTCGCAGGTCAATCCGAGGGCGCCCCGTGTCCGAAGCGTGTCTTCCTCCGGATCCGAGCACGTGGCCTTCGCTGCTGCTGCCACCTGCCTCGCTGACTCGCCCTTCTGATCAACCGACTTCGGACCTCGCAGCCTACAAATAGAAGGCATGCAAGCCTTCCCGGGTAATTTTGGGAAATTGCCCATTTTTACCCCTTTTTCAATATTTTGGTTATTTTGACCACCCCCGATGCCCCGAGATCATTTCCAATGCCCGGAACACGTCGCGGAGTGCCCGAGAAGCCCGGGAAATTTATTTTTTTCGGTTTCGAAGCCCGACCCTCGCAGAGCCCGGTTTCTCAATAAAACTCCCGGTTTTATTAGAAACGATCGTTTTAGGCAACGAAGTGCTGCCCGGTTATCGTTAAAACATGTGAGTGTGTAGTTACTTTCACCTTACACATATATATGAAGTATTTTCTTTAAAATACGTGCTATGTGTAATTATATTGATTGTTTAATTAAGGTGACTGTTGAATAGATGTTTTATACAAGTTTTAAACTGTATACATATTTTTATCTACAAATATGTTGGGTAAAATATGGGTAGATGAATTAGATGATGAGTGATGAGAGGTATAGATGTTTAAGATGATCTAGTCATCTAGTAGAGTATAGACAACGGTCACAGACTATTTTAGATAGTCTAGTGGAACGTTAGTAGACTTGTAATCAGTACGTACGTTTGAACTATATGTTCATAAAGTGTTCTTGAACTATATGTTCATTAGGTATTTTTGAACTATGTGTTCATCCATTAGTTCTTCCTTTTGACACTATTACGTGTCGGGGTACGGGAGCGTACGGGAGTACTTTATCAGTATTTTCCCTATACTTTTATTTGGAAGAGCTTTGGAGTCTTTGTTCTTTTATGAAGTGATCGGACGAGCTTCATGAGTTAGTGATATAGATCATGAGTTAAATAGTGGGTGTGTGATGAAAAGTGAGTTGGATAGATGAGATGATCAGTGATATAGATCATGAGTTGAAAGTGAGTGGAGAAATATGGGAAAAGCTTTTACCCAAACATTGGCGTGAGTGGTGCAATATGAGAAAAGCCCTTACCCAAACGTTGACCCCCGTCATTCAGCAGAGTAGGGATGACAACCATGGACTGTTCTAGACAGTCCAGTGGGAAACATTAGCAGGCCCGCAACCTGTAGGTGTTAATGGACTAGAGTGTTCATTCGCTGTACTCTATTCCCCTCATGATTGCCTTTAGTGCATGTATGGCTGGGGAAACCCCTTAGTATGTTCATCAGTTGTATGGAAAACCCATTGACATGTATTGCGGGGGGGGGGGGGGGGACCCGTGGGAAATACCGTCGATGAATAAGAGCTATGGACTTAGCATATGGAAAACCCATTGACATGTATTGCGGGGGGAAACTCCCGTGGGAAATACCGTCGATGAATAAGAGCTATGGACTAGCACATGGTGACGATGTCACTTCGTGCCTATTTGACATAAATTGCTGAAGGAAAGCAATGTTGTCACCTTGTTGGTTGTTTTATGTTAGGATGTATTGTTTGACATAACTTGCTGAGGGAAAGCAATGTTGTCACCCCGATGTTTGTTTTATTTGACATAACTTGCTGAGGAACCCCCAAAGCAATGGTGTCACCCCTTGTGAAAATCCTTAGGCTAGGTCCCTTGTGATAGTTGTTTTAGGGACGTAAAGTGAGGATAATGGGAATGGGTAATTAGGGTTATTTTGGTTGATG